TGGAACCTCCAAATTTGTGTGGGTGTAGTAGTGAGTGTGAGCGCGGACAATATTATATTTGTTTGTAACAGGTGATCTGAAGGAATTCTTTGAGGGCGACCAGAAAGACGTGACCCATGATGATAAGGTGAGTAAAGGCGCCCCCTCACTGAACGCTTTCGGTGTGTCTGCGTCCGCCGTGTCCGCCTCTGTCTGCCCGGACAGATGTCCGCCACACCGGACTTTTTGTTGTCGACAAGTTGGCGAAGGCTGACATATGTCCGGGCGGACACAGGCGGACAGGGCGGACGCGGACACACCGAGAGCGTTCAGTGTTGGGGCCACCTTTAGTCTGCCCACTGTCATTTCAAATCGTCAAACTCTTCCTCATGTTTTATCTGCTCAATCTTCACGTCTCACAGTGCTTTATGAAATGCGTGCTGAAGCATTCGGAAGTGGTGAGTAGTGTACGAAAAGTGGGATGGATATTAAAACACACTAACGTCGCAATAGCACAATTATGAAAACCTTACACATTTTCTTTCCTTATGTCCTTTTAAGTTGAAAGATGACGGCACCATAGACGCTTCTGCTATGAAGGATGACGAACCGGATCTTGTGCCTTACGCCGAAGAGTGCAGTAAGATTGGTATGTTCGTCCGGATACAAACATATGCACAATTATCGATGTGCTGAACTATAACTCTCAGGCCTTCATATGTTTGCAGAGAAAAACGACGATCTGTGTGAACTAGCTTACCAGCACACTCTCTGCATGCTCGAGAAGGTCCCCAAGGTAAGTGAGGAAGCGCCAGGTGTACCGGGTGGAACTGTGAATACGCAGCCAGTGTTGCGCGCTGCGTTGCGGCCATATCGAGCATGCAATCCCGCAACACTGCTGCGTATTCACAGTTACACCCGGTACCACCATTATTCACGTTTCATCGGGCGACGCTACTGATAGCACCTGCGACGCGCTGGATAGGCCAACCCGCCAAGCAGCTGTGCCGACAGGGCGGCCCATCCGCAGGGCTTCAGTGCGAGGGCTTTGGGCACTTTAACGTTTGACACGCAACGTTCCTTTGGGGATGATTCATTGTGGGGGCAACGTCATACTCATTGTACAAATATGTTGGCGTGATCACTTTATATAACTAATTATGTATTTCAGGATAAACTGGACCAACTTATCAAGGAGCACGAGGAGCACCTGTAAGAGAGACGCCTTCATTGCAGAATGAAAACGCAAAATGATGGGTGGTTGTAAATAAAAGATGAAAAATAAAATTGCATATATTTATTCGGGTATTTGTACTGTCGACTCATTCTCCAATTCGGAGAGATCCTATTTCATTGCACGGACGAATATCGCCCTAGAGGGGAAGGCTGTTCTACTGTTCTGGTTTCGTCTATCACAGTCGCTTAGTTCTTGAAGAGACGAGCCTCCACGTTGTACTGCTCACCCGACTGAGAGGCTGAGCTGGCATCGACGGCCCTGAAACCGTTCTCATCGGCGATGTAGTTGTAGGCGTACACCTGGCCGTCGGGGGCGGTGTAGGAGTAGGAGCCCTGCTTGGCGACAACGGGGCCCTCTGAGCCCTCAGTCAGGTAGCCCTCCTCAGAGTGCTGGATGCCGTTCTCGGTGGAGTAGCTCAGCTTGTAGGGGCCGGCGGCGTCGGTCTCCTGGACTTGGGACAGGATGCGGTACTGGGGGCCCTGGTAGGCGGATGCGTAGGTAGAGACACCGGCCAGAGCGGACGGCTGCTGGGAAACCAAGGGCTTAACAGCGTACTGCTCGGCGATCACGGGCTGTGCGAGCTGCTTGAGGGCGAACTGCTGGGGAATGACAGCGGGCTGCACGAGCTGCTTGACAGCGTACTGCTGGGCGATGATAGCGGGCTGGGCGAGCTGCTTGACAGCATACTGCTCGGCGATGACAGCGGGCTGGGCGAGCTGCTTCAGGGCGTACTGCTGGGGAATGACAGCGGGCTGGGCGAGCTGCTTGACAGCGTACTGCTGGGCGATGATAGCGGGCTGGGCGAGCTGCTTGACAGCGTACTGCTGGGCGATGATAGCGGGCTGGGCAAGCTGCTTGACAGCGTACTGTTGGGGGAAGACAGCGGGCTGGGCGAGCTGCTTGACAGCGTACTGCTGGGCGAAGACAGCTGGCTGGGCAAGCTGCTTGACAGCGTACTGTTGGGGGAAGACAGCGGGCTGGGCGAGCTGCTTGACAGCGTACTGCTGGGCGAAGACAGCTGGCTGGGCAAGCTGCTTGACAGCGTATTGCTGGGTGAAGACAGCGGGCTGCTGAGCGAACACAACGGGCTGGGCGAGCTGCTTGACGGCGTACTGCTGGGCGAAGACAGCGGGCTGGGCGTACTTCTCGGCGTAGTAGGGCTGAGCAACCTCAGCGGCGTACTGCTGGGCGTACACGGGCTGGGCGATCTTCGCCGAGCTCTTCTGGAGGCCGCTCAATTGTTCGAGGTTGGAAAAGTGGAAGACGTCATCGTGGTAGTCGGCAGCAGAGGCCGCGGCCACGAGGGCGGCAATGATCTGAGAGAGAATAACAAGTACGTTATTATCCAAGTGGACTTTCACCTCGGCTCTCCCCGCTGTTTGCACCCTCTGTGACTTACCACGAATTTCATGGTGGATGGTTGGTTTGTGTGAGACCTCCTGTTGCTGACTGGAGAGTGCCAAATCTGTCGAAGGTCCTGTGTTATATACCTTTGCAAGCCGGCCGGCTGGCCAGGGGTCTTCGCCCTCGCCTGCGCGTGCTAGCCGAGCTTAGCAAAACGAAGACTTTCTGTATCGATATCAGTCCACATCAGGACACATTCGACCAGGAATTCGACCGGATAGACAAGACGACGGGCGGTCTGCTCAACTTCAAAAGAAAGAAAAAAGTTTGGGGTATCTATACATGAGAAGAAAGTTACCGCAAGCGAGTAGTCATGTCATTGCGAATTAGACAATTTTGTGCTTTAAATAGGTGGCCGAGATGGGTAGGCAGGAGAAAGCCCACCCCTCAAGTTGTGCGTAGACCACGGGCGGTTTGCTCTGAGAGCCGCAGGGAGGCAAGCCTGCCTTGCGGGCTTAGTGGACGCGTTTGCTCCAACGGGGCTGGGTGCTGGGTGACAGTAAGTTTTACGCCTGGCAATGCGTCAAAAAGCTAGCGCATCAATGGCACGGTTGCCCGGCTGGCTGCCCGGCTGGCTGCCCGGCTGGCTGCCCGCCTGGCTGCCCGGCTGGCTGCC